CCTGGGGGGGTGTCCATACATGTGGCAGTGTCCATACACGTGGGGGTGTCCATACATGTGGGGCAGGTAGGTACTGGGGGGGTGTCCATACAAGTGGGGTTGTCTATACGTGGGTGGTAGGTGTGTCCTGGGGGAGTTTCCATACATGTGGGGCATATCCTGTAGGGTGCCCATATATGGTGGGCAGATGTGTCCTGGGGAGGTGTCCATACACGTGGGGGTGTCCATACATGTGGGGTAGGTCCTGGGGTGTTGTCTATACATGGTGGGACAGGTATGTCCTGGGGGGGTATCCATACATGGGTGGTAGGTGTGTCCTGGGGGGGGTGTCCATACACATGGGGCAGGTATGTCCTAGCGGGGTATCCAGCCATGTGGGCAAGGTTTGTCTTGGGGCGGGTAGTCTGAAAATGTGGGGAAGGCATGTCTTGGGGAGGTCCCTTCATGTGAGGCAGGCATATACTGGGAGCCCATTCCTATGGGCCAGATATGTCTTTGGAACCCTACATGTGGGCAGGTGTGTCCTGAGGGCCCTACATGTGGCTTCTGGGAGATGGTGCCTGTGTGGCGTCCCTGAGGTTCTGTGCCCTCTGCTGCCCACGGCTCCGCAGGTACGACATTGTTTTCCTGCCGCCCTCCTTCCCCATTGTGGCCATGGAGAACCCCTGCCTCACCTTCATCATCTCCTCCATCCTGGAGAGTGACGAGTTCCTGGTCATCGACGTCATCCACGAGGTGGCCCACAGCTGGTTTGGCAACGCTGTCACCAATGCCACCTGGGAGGAGATGTGGCTGAGCGAGGGCCTGGCCACCTACGCACAGCGACGTATCACCACTGAGACCTACGGTACCGTCCACAGGGCAGGGGAGAGGCCCCAAGAGAAGGGGCCCCGAGGTCCTAGCCACCACCCACTCGGCTCTCCGCCCGAGCCCTAACAGGGTGCTCAACCCACCTGCCTCCTGGGACTGCCAGGTGCAGCCTTCACCTGCCTGGAGACTGCCTTCCGCCTGGACGCCCTACACCGGCAGATGAAGCTGTTGGGGGAAGACAATCCGGTCAGCAAGCTACAGGCCAAGTTGGAACCAGGTACTGCCTGCCAGACCCCACCCAGGACTCCTCAGACACACCTGCCTGCCAGGGCACCATCCCTACCCCAAGAAGACCCCTGCATGCCCCTTGTGGGCACAGAGCACCCTGTGGTCTTAAGGGTACATGCTTCAGTGTGTGCCAGTGGGGGCTCTCAGCCCTCCATGCCTCGCTTGCCCAGACTACCGCCCCTTCCCAGCCCCTCGGGACACAAGAGGGTCCCGGGCACTGCCCTATGCTAGGGGTCTCCCTTGCAGGAGTGAACCCCAGCCACCTGATGAACTTGTTCACCTATGAAAAGGGCTACTGCTTCGTGTACTACCTGTCCCAGCTCTGCGGGGATCCCCAGCGCTTTGACGACTTTCTCCGCGTGAGCAGCCCCTCCCTGGCCCACAGGCTCCTGGTGGGCATGGGGGCTGGGGTGATGGTACAGGGAGCCCTGCACTCTAGGACTGGGATGGGGAATCTTTTTCTGCCAAAAGTCATGACATCATTCGCGGGCCATACAAAATTCCCAACTTAAAATTAGCTTGCTGTATTCAATCACACATTTAACTCACCCCTGATGTGATGGCGGAGTGCTGGTGTGGCGCTAGGGATAAGCACTGATCTTCAGTGTCGGGTTGAATTGCAAGGTCGGCGGTTCAAACCCACCAGCAGCTTCTCGCAAATCCTATATGGGGTCACTATGAGTGGGAACCGACTCGATGGCACTTAACAATATAGCTCTCAGGCCAGATGTTCCCCACCCGTTTAGGCAGTGGGGATGGAGTAAGGGGTCTTTGTGCTCTACAGAGACCTGGCCTGCCTTTGCTCAAGGGAGCGTCTGGTCGTGCCTCCACTCACACCCCCTCTTAGGCCTCTCAGCAGGCCCTGCAGGTGGGCAGCACCCTGGGTCCCTGCAGGTGTGGTGAGGGTCCCCTGCTCCCCCTGCAGGCCTATGTGGAGAAATACAAGTTCAGCAGCGTGGTGGCTCAGGACCTGCTGGATTCCTTTCTCAGCTTCTTCCCAGAACTGAAGGAGCAGAGTGTGGATTGTAGGGCAGGTGAGAGAGCAGGCAGGTGTCTCACGTGTTGTAGGGGCTGAGAGGAGGTGACATTCAGAGCTAGCCCATGAGGGAGCCTGGGACTTCCTAGAAGAGGTGGCATTCAGAGCAGTCACAGAGAGAGGGCTGACCATGCCCTGCATACACAGGCCTGGGGCTGGCCAAGGCTTCCTGGTCCTCCTGTATGGTTCTCATGGGGCCTGAGCCTAGGGGGCCAGAGGAGGGCCCATCCACTGGGGCATCGTGGGGGGCTGAGGCTAGGGGGCCAGAGGAGGGCCCGTCCACCGGGGCGTCGTGGGGGGCTGAGGCTAGGGGGCCAGAGGAGGGCCCGCCCGTCCACCGGGGCGTCGTGGGGGGCTGAGGCTAGGGGGCCAGAGGAGGGCCCGTCCACTGGGGCGTCGTGGGGGGCTGAGGCTAGGGGGCCAGAGGAGGGCCCGTCCACCGGGGCTTCGTGGGGGGCTGAGGCTAGGGGAAGGGATGGTGGGAGGTCTGGGGTGGTGGGTAAGTGGTTGGTGAGGTGTTGTCTGCCCTGAGGCTGTTAGCCAGGGTGCTGTTTTCAGAGCTCAATGAGTGCCACCCCTCCCCCTGACTACAGGCACAGGGTGGTTAAAACGCTCACCATCTTGCACCCAGAAGCCTGGGGTGGGTGAGGGTCCCTTGGCCCCCCAAGCCCTCTTCCCCTTCTAGTGGCTTCAAGTAGCAGAAACTCAGGCTGGCCTCCGAGAGCCTTGTTTGGGGCGGTGGGGCCCCTGAGCCAGGTCAGCTACTTGCCCAGGGTCTGTGTCTCCAAGGCTTGCCCACTGGGTAACCCTCTCCCCAGCCTTATGAGGACCTCAGGATCACCCCTGACTTCCTGCAGGTCTAGAGTTTGAGCGCTGGCTTAATGCCACAGGCCCTCCACTAGCAGAGCCGGACCTGTCTCAGGGATCCAGCTTGACCCGGCCAGTGGAGGCCCTCTTCCATCTGTGGACAGCAGAGCCGCTGGACCAGGTGGCTGTGTCAGCCAGCACCATTGACATCTCCAAGTGGAGGACCTTCCAGACGGCACTTTTCCTGGATCGGCTGCTGGATGGGTCCCCACTGCCCCAGGGTGGGTCCTGTGCTGGGGGAAGGGGTGGTCGGTGGGGAGGGCAGCGCCTGGCTGGTCCTGACACGCCCTGCTCACAGAGGTGGTGATAAGCCTGTCCAAGTGTTACTCGTCCCTGCTGGACTCCATGAACGCTGAGATCCGTATTCGCTGGCTGCAGCTCATTGTCCGAAATGACTACTACCCCGACTTACACAGGGTGCGGCGCTTCCTGGAGAGTCAGGTACATCACACCTGCCTGACCACCTGGGGGTGGGACCACTACCTGCCCACACCTGTGCTGTCCCTCATTCAGTCCTCCTGTGCTCCTACAATCCCATCCCAGCCCTGAAGTCTGACCACACGTTTGGGACCCTTTGGCTTTCCAGAGAGCAGGGTGGGAAGAGTGGGGGCTGGGTTGGGTGTGGGGGAATGAGTCAGGTGACCATGGCACTGGCCTGTCAGGTTGGAGAGGCCAGTGTGGACAGAGAAAAATAAACTGGGAGCAAGAGTCAGGGGCTGGGGGCCCCCAGTAGATCCCTGCAGAGTGGGCTTCCTGGCCTGGGCCTCAGGGGGTGACCATCTCCTGGGAGGGAGGCCAGAGGCACCCAGGCCTGCCCTACAATCTCAGCATACAAGTCCTGCGGCTAGGGTGGGCAGGAAGCCGGCTGGTTTGGGAGGCCGATTTCGGGGTGGGGAGGCTGAGCTTCCTCCCATCGCCGCCTACAGATGTCGCGCATGTACACCATACCGCTGTACGAGGACCTCTGCACAGGAGCCCTCAAACCCTTCGCCCTGGAGGTGTTCTATCAGACCCAGGGCCAGCTGCACCCCAACCTGCGCAGAAACATCCAGCAGATCCTGTCGCAGGGCCTCGGCCCGGGTGCGGAGCTGGCCGCGGAGCCAGATACAGGCGCGGGCACCGACACGCCGGCAATGCTACTTGGGGACGAGGCCCCGGGCAGTGCCATCTCTCTCAGGGACGTCAACGTGTCTGCCTAGTCCTGAGTGGGCTGCCTACCACCTCACAGACACCACGATTGTGCCTTCTGGGGACGCGGGACTGCCAAGACTGCGGCCTCCCCACTCCTCGAGTCCCTGGACTTTCCCGGCCTGCGTGCGGGGAACTGCGTGCCGACTCTTCAGAGCCAGGAACCAGGTGCAAGCGGCCTGGCAGGGAACCTGCTGCAGACTGTTACCAGGGCCGGTTGGTATCTGGGTGTGGGCTCTGCAGGAAGCTGGATGCAGACTCTCAGTGGCCGGTGGAGTCAGGTGCGGGCTCGGCAGCAGCACATCCAGGACCTGGTAACGGCCATTGGGCACCGTGCCCTCTATTCTCACACCGCGGGCGCTCAGCCCGTACTCCCAGAAGAAGGGGTGCACACCCATACCAGACGCTGCCAGGCGATGGCCCCACGCCCCTGCAGCGACCATCACACTGTGCCTTATGTCTGTGTGCGACCTGGGCCATGCCTCCCGAAGAGCAAACTCGGCTAAGGACCAGGGACGCAGATATGCTCGCTGTCCCCTTTGTAACAGTGGCGTGGGGCCAGGGGACACCAGGGAGAGGCCACAGGTTCCTTGGGTGGGGCCCCGGGCCAAGCAAAGCCTTAGCCCCTCAGGGAACCCGGGTCGGGGGCGGGGCGGGCGCACGGGCAAAGCAATACCGCAGGGAAGCGGCAGGTGGCGCTGGTGCTCTCCTTAGGCCACAGTGCTGCTGGGGGTGGCTGCCGCTGGGGTCTCCGGGGACCGCGGGGTGAGGGCTGACCTGCAGCGTCACCAGACCGTCCCATTAAACCTCTTCTTTGCAAACCTGACCTCCCTGTCCCCATGTCCTGATTTGTGCCTTCTGCATCCAGGGAACCCCTGGGATAGAGCTGGCTGGTCCGGGGGCTTGGACTGACAGCTGGTTGCGGGTGGAGCCCCTTGACACCAGATGTTGGATGGGGCTGAGCATCTTTCCAGCGGTGCAGCTGCTCCAGGGTCTGAGAACAGGTCTGCGTGGGGACCCAGCAACCCCCGGGTGTATAAATTCTAGCAGAAGGCCTTTGTCTTGCCTACCACAGGGCCTTCCCAGTGCCCTGCAGACCTCCTAGAGCTGGACGTCTTCACTCAGATCAGACTACATGGGACCACTTGTCACCACCCGTTTGCTCTGTGGCTTTGGCCCAGATCTGGCCTTAGTGGTGGACTGTCCTGAATACGTTTCCAAGGGCACTGACTGGACTCCTCCCACTCCTAGGTCTTAAGGGGTTGAGTTATATAAGAAGACCTCAGGCTCTGGATGGTCCCTGAAGTTATCATCCCCAGTGCCCAACCCGATCCACCCAAGGGATCTCCTGGCGTGGGGGTGGGTTCCCCAGCCCTGAGGCAAATCCCCCTCTGAAGACACTGGCCAGGCATCTCCACACCGGAAGGGTCCTCTTTGTAAGTCAGTGCCCAATGAGCCTCTGAGTTTAGAAAGCGGAATCACAGAACATCTTTATTTCTGAGGTGGGGTTGGAGGATGTGGCTTGGACTCAAGCCAGCCCGGTTCTCCTGCCAGACCTTTCCTGTTACCCAGAGGTGTCTCAGGGGCCTCTCATGCAGAGCGCTGGGTAGCATGCTGCTCAGACAAGGCAGGGTAACTGCCCTCAGAGCCCATGGCTACTGCAAATGACAGACACGAAGCCCACGGGGGTGCTCAGTGGTACTGAAGTAAATCCTCCGCTGTGGTCCTCCCTAGTTCTCTTAAGATGCGTGGCTCTGGACTCCCAAGCAGGACACGGGGGCTAGGCCAGGGCACCCACAGCTGCCACCATCTCGGCCCAGCCTCTCAGAGGGAGGAGTTACGCGAAGTCAAGGGTCAGAGGTACGGGCTTCAGGGCCAGCTTTGCTTCTTGCCATAGGGACCCTTAGCACCTGGGGACAGGAAAAGGGCTTCGATATGTCCTTTATCTAAGCTAGGTTAAATAGCCTGAAGATGCAAACACCTGAGATGTTTCATCACTTGGGCTGGGGTCCCGGTCCCCTCTCTGCGTGGTTAGCAACCAGGAGGAGGCTCCGCGAAAAGCTAGACTCCCGGGTCCCCTTTCTACCGCTGCTGTCTCAAGTCAGACCACGGCAGCGGGGACCACTAGACACACCATTCACAGTTCGTCTCCCGCATCTGCAACAACCAACGCCTGCAGCGCTCTGTGCACAGGATTCCGGACGTCGGAAGGAGGAATGCATTCTGGGGGGCCGCGCTGTATGCTGGGACCTGTAGTCCACAGCCCTGTCTCGGAGCCTATGAAGTCCTTTCAGTTCCAAGAGCCCCACATTCAGCACAAGCCTGGCCGATCCCACGATAATACCTGATGGTTTCCTAGCGTACCCCTCAGCACGCCCCTGCCAACTCCCAGAAGAAGAAAGTAGCGGCGAGTCTGAGCAGCATCGCGAGAGCGAGCTTTGAAGCCCCGCCCCTGGGCGGGACCGCAGCGCGTAGCAAGGTTGAACTCGAGCGAATGAGCGCCTGCCCATCATGTGGTCCGGAGCGACACCTCTGGTTGGCTGCTGCCTGGTTACCCGGGCGACGGAGCGGCCGGTCTCCCAGCGGAGTGGCTGATTTCCTAGCTGAAGGTTGTGGTGGACGGTGGGGAACTGTTCGGTTCCGTCCGGGGTCGTGACCCCGAGTCCACTGACCTGGGGCTCCCACTCGGCCGCAGATGGGAGCCCGGGGCGCCGGAGATGCGGGCGGAGCGGCCGAGGCTCCGGCGCCCGAGCTCTTCCGGGACGCCGCCTTCCCGGCCTCGGACGCCTCGCTTTTCTTCAACTTCTCCACGCCGCTGGCCCAGTTCCACGGGGACTTCACGTGGCGGCGGCCCCAGGTGGACCGGGCTGGGTCGGGGAGCGGGCGGGAGCTGCGGGACGGACGGGCGGCCGGCAGCCACTCACTCCCACCTCGGGAGACGCCGGACCGGCCGCTTTATCCCTTCATATCCCCGTTAGACGTGCCTGACCACAGGCTAACCTTTAAGGGCAAGACAGGAGGTCGTGGCCCCTGTTGTTGCGAACCCTGGTTTAGAATGAAGGAGCTTGTGGGTGGCGCAAACAGTTAAGCTCTCTTTTTAAAATTGGAAGGTTCGAATCCGCCCTGAAGCGCATGGAAAGAAAGGCCTGGCGATCTGCTTCTGAAAATTGTCTGGAGCGGTTTTGTTCTGCACATGGGGTCACCGTGAGTCGGAGTCACCTCCACGGCTCCCACTTTAGAGGACAATTCTGGGCTCAGCGAGAGCAGACCCAGTCCTGCCTCTACTCTGGGTCTCCAGGTCATCCTGGCCACACACCTGCTTCTGCTTTTAGTGTAGACTTGGCCACAGGACAGTGAAGCCTCGAGCTCCTCTCCGAGGGAGAGGGAGCCTGCAAAGCAAGACCGTGGTCGTTTCCAATGTGGGTGCCACACACCTGCACTTTCCGTTGTAGATCGTTTTAAGGTGGCAGTTGAAAGGGACGTTGTGACCTAGGTTTGTGGTGGACACATCTGGTGGCTGTCCGCCCTTGAAGGAGCCCGGTGGGCTTGAGTGGCCACCAAGGTGATTCAGAGAGTAGCCTCGTTTCCTTGAGCCACACTAGGGGAGACTCGCACCAGGGCATCGAGAGCCTTTTGGAACTTGGGGTTTATTGCTGTTATTTGCTGTAGAGTAAGTTCCAACTCATAGCCACCCTGTATAGGGTTTATGAGGAGCAGCTGGTAGACTGGAACCACCGACCTTGTGGTGCAAACCAACCTTACAGTCCAGTGCTTAAGCTACAGCCTCACACACACAGAACTTCTCCATATGTATTCTAACCTTAGAAATCCTAAGGAGCGGTTCGCCCCTGTCCTAGAGGGTCACTGGGGCTTGATGGCAGTGGGTTTGTGGTTTGTGGGAGGTCAGGGTTCGCAATAGGGGGTGGAACTATGGCTTACACGTTGGTTCAAACCCACCCTCCACTCCTCAGGAAAGCTGACGCTGCCTGCTCCCATAAAGATTTGCAGCCTTGGAAACCCTAAAGAGCGGTTTCCTTTCACCTATAGAGTTGTTATGAGTTAGAACATACTCCATGGCAGTGGGCTTGGTTTTTGATCTTAGGAGGGTAGGAGTCACAGAGTAATTCAAACAGTTGATGAAATCAGCTGGTAACCAGCAGGTTGGAGATTCGAGTCCCACCCAGTGGCTCCTTGGAAGACATGCCTGGTGATGCAGCTCTGACTGTTAGGGAGCGGTTCTATTGGATCTGTGTGAAGAGCTCACTCTTGCTGTTGGCTGGGCACAGGGGTGTCTGGCAGGAATGGAAGTAGCCATTGCAGGGTCCTGAAGGACAGAGGTGGTCAGGGCTTTGGTGCAGCTGGATTTAGGAAAATGTGATGGGTCTTCCTGAGCAGTTGGAAATGGAGGCTTTGTTCAAACCCACTCAGGCAGGCCAATTGGATGAGAGTGGAACGCAGGAGGGTGGTGGGCAGACAGCCCAGGCCTGTGTGGGAGTGCCTCCGGAGAGGGCATAGTGGAGAGGCAGAGAGGCTAGCACTGACCCCGAGGAACCCAGGGTCCAGGGTGTTGCAAGCAGGCCCTGACAGGTGGGCTTGGGAGGCAGGAGGGCGGGCACCGGAGTGATGGATCAGGAAGCCCCAGAGGGATGACGGAGAAGAGAAGAAACAGCCTGGAAGGGGTGTGGAGGAAGCGGCTGAAGACACCGTGCACCCTGAGCTCCAACTTTCTGTCAGAGTGAGGGGAGGTAGGGTGGTCAGTTGCCGGAAGCTTAGCACTGGGGCAGCCCAGAGGAGTACTGCATGATGCAGGAAATGTCTGGGGGAACAATGGACAGCTGGCTTTTGTATGGCCCTACTGGCTATAGTCTTGTAACTCCCACTAAAAGATTGGGTGGGACTCTGCTTGGGACCCACCAAGGGGCTTGGGTAGTTTGATAATGATTCAGATAAGGTGTAGGGGACCTTGGTCCGTTTTACCATCCAGCTAGGCATAAAAGAGAGCCAATCCCAGAGCAGAGAGCGGAACCTCCCATCTCTAGAAGCAGAGACAGAGTTGTCACAGGGGAGAAGTGGGAAGCAGAACCCGAAGGTCATTAGATGGTGCGCTGGGCGAGACCTTCAGGCAGAATAGGGTGCCTCGGGCCCTCGATGGAGCGAGACTTGCCACCCCTAGGAGCTAGCGCTGAGTGCTTTTGGACTGAGGCTATTTGGCGGAGTGGAGTGTCTGTGGGCATCTCTTGGTAGAGCCAGACCATTCTGTAACACTTACCAGAGAAGGGCAGCGGCTGGGCTGGCTCATGATACCCAAGGGGCCCAAGACCTGATCCTGGATTGTAACCTGTCACTCCCCTAATAAACCTCGTAACTGTGAATGTGGTGTGTGAGTTCTGTGGGGTCATGGCGACACATTCTCCAGCCCAGCAAAGGAGCCGAGAGGGCCGCTGTGCGAGGCCGGCTGGTGTCCGAACTGGTGAAAAGCTTGGACATAGGAGGACTGGTACTTAGGGAGAGCTGGGGATTGGGGAGAGGGTCTTGGAGGAAAGCCAGGTCTGGGGCAGGAGGTTGTGGCATTTCAGGAGGACAGAGAAAAGACCGCTTTCCTGAGCACCATGGGACAGAATCTAGCGTGTTTAGGACCCCTAGAAATACGCTGTGGTGATTTTAAAGTGGAACTTCCAGGCCAACGTCTAGCTGTTTTAAGGAGGTGGTTGGCAGGATTCAGCTAGAGTGGGAGTTTTTACCCACTACAGGTGGGGGGGACATCATGACCCCAGAATTCAGACTACACCAGGATCTGAAGCCAGGAGGGGCTCGAGGACAGTGGCTACATGAAGTCAGACAGTGACGAGGGTGATGAGGAAGCCTCGTGTGTGGAGACAGCCCCAGGATGCCATATAACGCGGTTGAACCCTCTTCTTTCAGGAGCTCTGTGCAGCTCCCCGGCTGTTTCCAGATACCCCCCAGGAGGGACAGGTGAAGCAGGGGCTGCTGGGAGACTGCTGGTTCCTATGCGCCTGCGCAGCCCTGCAGAAGAGCCGGCGCCTCCTGGAGCAGGTGCGCGGCCGGGACAGGTTGCAGTGGGTTTCTGAGAGTTCTGGGACTTGGGCTGTGGCTGTGACAGTGGGAGGACCCTAAGGCAGGCTCCAGGGTCTCCTTCCCTGCAGAAGTGGGGGAGTCCTTGGGGACGTCGTACGCTTGCCCTGCTGTGTCTGGCTTCTCCATGTCTCGATGACACACCATCCTAGAGTACGAGGCCCAGCTGGGTGACCCTTGTGTGGAGCAATGCACTTCCAGCTTTGACTGTTAGTCGGCAGGAGACCCTCCTGCACAGTGGCTTAATGGGGCTGTGGTGGTCGCCTCTGAGCATGCGGTGAGCGCATCGCTGCGAACTGTGACCACAGACCCCTTTATACGACCAGGGAGCTAAAGCCGCCATCTGTATGGTTCTGGATGGTAAGGGTAGGGCCAGAATCCCAGCCCCGGTGCCCGAAGTGGGTCCCTGGGCTTTGTTAGGGCACGTCTGCAGTTGGCCTACCCTCCTGCCAGCAGAAGTCACCGTCAGTTTGGGCTCGGCGGCTCTGGGAGACATGTGGCTGGCTAGGCATGAGCCACAGTTGTGGCATTAGGTGGGGACTTGGTTTTTCTTGAGCGCGAGACTCGTGCGGCACTCCTTCTCACAGCGCCTCTGCGTCTCCTGTGCACTAGGTCATTCCGCCTGGACAGCCGAGCTGGCCCGACCCTGCCTACCGGGGCTCCTTTACCGGCTGCGTGTGGCAGTTTGGACACTGGGTGGAAGTGACGGTGGATGACCGCCTGCCTTGCCTCGCCGGCAGACTCTGCTTCTCCCGCTGCCACAGCGAGGATGTGTTCTGGCTCCCCCTGCTGGAGAAGGTCTATGCCAAGTACGGGGCGGGTCCAGGGCGGGACTAAAGCAGATCCACGCCCAGTATGAGGCGGATCCCGGGGGTGGGGCTGGAGGCTGCTCAAAGTCTGGGTCAATATGGTCGGGGGCGTGGCTGGAGAAGGGCTAAGCTAAGTACTGGGCTGGTCAGGAGCTGGCCTAGGGAAGACCCACGCCCAGTATGGGGCGGGTCCAGGGATAGTTTGGGGGCGTGGCTGGAGAAGGGCGGCTGGTAGGTGAGTTGGGGAGGCAGGGCGAGGAGGGGAGAGGGAACTTTCCACTCCCACTCTGCGGCCTCTTTCAGCGTGAAAGCCAATCATCGTGTGAAGACAGTGAGATTCCCTTCTTTTGGTGTGGATAAACCCCAAGGGGCCAGACCTCTCACGGATGAGGAAGGGTGGAGGTCCCGCACACTTCAGTACTCCGCTACCTTGGTCCTGGCCTGGGGCCACACATGTGCTGAGGCCCGAGGAGAGGGAACCTGATGAGGTGGTGGAGATATAGAGACCAGGCTTGGGCGGGCATCATACTGGAGGAGGAAGAGGCAGCAGCGCCCCGCCCCGTCCCGTCCCCGAGGTCACCTGCTCTTGTGCCGCAGGGTCCACGGGTCCTATGAGCACCTGTGGGCAGGGCAGGTGGCAGATGCCCTGGTAGACCTGACCGGCGGCCTGGCGGAAAGGTGGAGCCTGAAGGATCTAGCCAGGTCCAGCGGGCCCCAGGACGGGCCGGGACACAGGGAGCTGCGGCAGCTGCTTCACTTGAAGAACAGGTGTGGGCTGAGCTGCTCGGTGCTCAGCCCGAGAGCAGGTGAGGCACGGGCAGGTGGGTGGGCGCAGAGCACCAGGAGGCAGTCAGGACCTGTAGTGACTGCAATGCACACTCACTCTCTGGGGTGTGGATGCTCGTTAAAGGGAGCCCTGGTGGCACCGTGGTGAAGCGCTCCCCAGCAGCTTTGCAGGAGAAGGACGTGACCTTGGAGGCCCTATGGGTAGTTCTGCTCTAGTCTCTAGGGTTGCTGTGAATCAGAACCGACTTGATGGTAAAATAATACGCTCACTAAAGAAAATCTGTGAAGAGTGAAAGCTGTCACTTGCTTCTCAGCTTGTTAGTACACTTTCTCAGTTTCTTTGTAAATGTGCCCGTTCTCTGTGCTTCCCACGGTGTCATTTTCCCATGCCGCTACCCCAGCCACTCACTCCTCAGAGACCCTGTGGGATGCGCTGAGTTAGAACCAATTCAGTGAAACTTACGGCGATATCAGCTGTGTACACATTTGATCCCACCAGTGGATCTGCCCTGGGTTTCTTGATCCTTCCCTGAATGCTAGAGATTGAAGGTCTTCCCAGTGTTAACAGAATTTTAAACCACTGCAGGGAACATCTCAGTTTGCCTTATGGTTCCACTTAAAAACAAATCCAACCTAATGTCATCTAATGGGGAAAAGCGGGTCCCGTGGTGTCTGGGAATCTGGACTACCTGAAGTCAGACCTGAGACAGGGTGGAGGAGCGCCTGGGGAGGTGAGAGGGTGACAGGAAGCAGGAGGGCGGCCTCAGAGTCCTCCCTCCCCAGGGGTGAGGAGCCAGTGGGCGCCGCTCCTAGTGGGGCAGGGAGACATAGAGGCTTTCTGGTTCTGTAGAAAGCCTGCTGAGAGATCAGCTGGAGTGAGGCTGTGGGCTTCATTCCCAGGATGCCTCTCTTCCCTCCCCAGATGGGGTCTCTGCTCTTCTCGGGCTCCCCTACTTCTACCTCTATGCCCTGTGACGCTGGAAAAGTGGGGAATCCCCTGGGTGGGTTTCTGGTCACATTTTTCTCTGAGTGCCTGCGTGTCCTTCCCAGAGGCACCTCCTTTGTGTGGGGATCCTGGCCGTTCTGGGGGGGTGACAGGGCCTGGGGTCATCCCCGAGAGGGCCTGGTGGCCTGCGCACACCCTCCTACAATCAGCTTGCACCCAGGGGCTTCAGTAGCTGGAAATGAGCCCTGCTCCCTCTGAGGGCCTCTGCAGTCACCCCCTGTCCCCCACACAGGAGTCCAAGAGCTGGGGGAGTTCCATGCCTTCATCATCTCGGACCTGTGGGAGCTGCACAGCCCAGCTGCCAAGGGTGCCCTGCTGTTCCGCATCCACAACCCCTGGGGCCGGCGCTGCTGGCAGGGGCCCTGGAGAGAGGGGTGCGTCAGGGGAGGAGGCCTGGAGAGAGGGGTGCATGTGGTGGGGGGCCCTGAATCAGGGAGTATGTGAAGGGGGCCTTGGAAAGAGTGGTGTGTGTAGTAGAGGCACTCTGCAGAGAGGGGTGTATGCGATGGGGAAGCCCTGTAGACAAGTGCATAGAGGGACCCTGGAGAGCGGGGTCATACAGGGGCCCTGAGGAGCAGTGTGTGTGTAGGAAACAGGGAAGGGAAGGCTCGGGACTGCCTCCCTGACTGAGCTGGGTCTCCTTGCAGGGGTGAAGGCTGGAGCCAGGTGGAGGAGGCGGAGGCCACAGCATGCCTATCCCAGCTGCAAGAGGGCGAGTTCTGGGTGGACGGGGAAGAGTTCCTCCGTGAGTTTGATGAGCTCACAGTCAGCTTCCCCATCTCGGAGGAAGGCCACCTGCAGAGCCTTCACTCAGGTGCAGTGCCCAGGCCCCTCTTTGTCTGTCAGGCAGCTGGCTCCGAGGTCTGTCCCCTAAGCTGACTCAAGCTCTGTGTATACCAGGAAAGACACTGTATCACAGGCAGGCACTGCCTGGGGCCTGGGTCCGAGGGCAGTCGGCTGGAGGGTGTCGGAACAACAGTAGCTTCCCTAGCAACCCCAAGTTCTGGCTGAGGGTCTGGGAGCCGAGCGAGGTGTGCCTGGCCGTCCTGCAGAGGCCCAGGGGGGTCACAGGGAACAAGCAAGCTGCATGGAGCCTGGCCAGCCTCCCGGGCAAGGACCTTCAGGCTGTGGGCCTCCATGTGTGGAAGGTAACTCCTGAATCAGGCTTCTCACCTAGCTGGACACAGGGATGGGCCAGGACAGGGTGGCGATAGGGGCCAGTCCGCTGGCAGAGTGGACCCCTGTCTGGGTGAATGCTTTTTTGAACACGTGATTTATAGAAGAAGACCGTGAACTGCAGGGTCGGTGGTTCAAAACCACTAACCACTCCTTGGGAGAAAGCTGGGGCTGTCTGCTTTTGTAAAGACTGTCAGTCTCTGAGCCATCGTGAGTCCCAATTGACTCAGTGGCAGCTGGGTTGATTTGGACCTGGGATGGCTTCTAGCCAGTGGGAGAAGTAAGAGTCCAGCCTCAGGGCCACGCTGGCCAAGAGAGGACCTCAATGTGTTGTACCACCTGCCCCTCCTGACTCAGGGTGGGGTGGGGTAGGCACTGACAAATCACCTTGCGCCTCCCAGGTGGAAAAGCGGCGGGTCAACCTGCCCAGAGTCCTGTCGGCACCCCCTGCAGCCAGCACCACCTGTCACACATATGACCGCGAGGTCCACCTACGCTGTGAGCTTTCCCCAGGCTACTACCTGGTCGTGCCCAGTACCTTCCTCAAGGATGTGCCGGGTCAGTTCCTGCTCCGAGCTTTCTCTTCGGGGCAGGTCTGCCTCAGGTGAGAGCTTTGCGTTTCGGAGCTGTGGTCTCCGCCTGCGGCCCCGCCTGCCTTGGTGTGCCCCTTCCAGAGACAGGCTACCCGCACTGCCCTCAGTCCAGCCCTTGTCCCCTCGCAGTGCCATCAAGTCGCCTGCTAGGTGTCCGGGCCCTGGGGGCGCCCTGCCTGCCGGGGAGTGGGAGACCATTCAGCTGCAGGGATGTTGGCGGGCCGGGCAGACGGCAGGCGGCAGCAGGAACTTCGCCTCGTACCCCAGCAACCCCTGCCTCCCCTTCACTGTGCCCGCCGGTGGCGAGGGTGCCCGCTGCGTCCGCATCTCGCTGCGCCAGCACTGCCCAGAGGGCGCATGCCACCCCATCGGTTTCCATGTCTTCCAGGCAAGAGCTCAGCAGCAGGCGGGTGGGTGTCGGGGAGTGCCCATCAGTACAGAACAAAACCCATCTCAAGATGTGCTCTGGGGTCCTAGGGCACTGGGGTCGTTGGGGTAGGCTCCAGCAGCGCCTTGTGCGGAACTGTAGCCCATCATTAGGGCTCTGGGCATTACTTTCTGCTTCCAGTGAACCACACCCAACCAAACCCCTCCAAAGTGGATGGAGCCACGCCCCTACCTGGATAGTGGGCGGGGCCGTGTGCTCACTAGCCTGTGGATGGAGGCTTGCCCTTCTGTGGGCGGGGCCTGCGAGTCCTGAGGGGAGCAGCCTACCAGGTGTTTGTCCTCCCTCACTTGCCCGGGACCTGCTGGATACCCTAGCACCCACCCACTAGGTCTCCAGTTAGCGGGACCACACCCCTGACCTCCGAGGACCTACGGTACTGGTCTTAGGGGGCCGCCTCTGGCCCTTCCTGGAGGTGGGGCTGGGGACTCCAGCTGAGTAACTTAGCCCTGGACAGGTCCGTGACCCGGGAGTGGTGTTTGAACATGTACAAGGGCAAGGAGCCCCACGAGTCCTGGGCCCGCTGCCCCACCTGAAGAGGGCCGGGGCGATGGGGAGGCAGATGATCAGCCCCCTGCGCCCCTGCCCCCCTTCTCCGCCAGGTTCCCGAGGGTGGCGGGAGCCGGGACGTGTCCTCCCTACTGCCTCAGGAGCCACTGTCCAGCTGTGTGCCTCACCGCCACGCCCTGGAAGTGAGCCAACTGTGCCGCCTGCCTGCAGGCACCTACGGAGTGGTGCCCTCCACCTACCAGCCTGACACAGAGGCGGCCTTCACCGTCATCATAGCCACCAGGATCGACCGGTACTTGCCTCCCGTGGGGAAGGGGCCCATTGTGTCTCAGCTGTTCACTGGACCCAGGCTGATGGCTGTCTCCTGCAGGCAGTCCCTCCAGAGTCGGGAGAGCCTGGGCCAGCCCCTTCAGGAGGTATGTGGTGTTGATTGCGGACTGGGGTCTGCCACTCCGCTGGGCATTTGGGGTCTCACTGTACGCTCTGCAGGCCTCCTTCACGGCTGTGATGCAGACCTGAGGGGATGGCTGTGTGCCCACTCAGTGACGGTGTTCCTGCTCGTCCTCTGCACATGGTTTCCTCCCCACCCCCCCATGGGGTCAGCAGGGTCTTCATGCCGCCCTGGAGAACGGCCTGCAGCTTCCCTGGGGCCCAGGAGTGAGATCGCCAGGCTGCGTCTGAGCAGGGTCCGAGAGAGAGGCAAAACCTCAGGGCGGAGCACAAAGTCCCTGAGCCCAGCCAGGGGCTCCAGCGGGACCTTGACAATCTCTCATCACTGAGAGGCCTTCCACCAGACAGGAGCGGGTGGAGACAAATTTTGCCAACATTCAAAGCTAGTTATTATTATTGGAACCCCTTGTAAGAGGTCATTTTATCAATAAACCAGTGGGCACTGGCAGGTGGTGGATTTCTACTGTCTGAGTAGCTCTGCGTTGAGTCATCTGTTCCTCAGCTCAGTCCTGGAGGGACAGGAGGGCTTGGGTGGAGGTGGGAGGGGGTGCAGGTGCAGAGAGGTTGGATGCAGACGAGGCAGGCTGGGGCAGGTCAGGAGGCCCAGGAAGTGAGAGGAGAGGCCAGGACAGAGGAGCTGCCGCTGCTGAGGGAAGAAGCAGGATCCACCTGGACTTGGGCCCGTGGATTCGGAGCAGTAGGTACAGTTGATGTCCCTGGTGACATCCCTGCCCCGACATGAGGTCCCTGAAGGCAGAAAGCTCAATGGGAGCCTTGGTTTCCAGGTACCCGGTCCAAAGTCCTCTAAGGGGCCAGCCTGCATCCCTGCCCAATAGAGTGGGCATCCCAAGCGCATGAGGTAGCAGTGAAGTTGGAAAATCCATGGACATACTTTGGCTCCTGGTTCCCGCCGATGGACACAGCAGGCCTAGCTGCCCACTGGAGCAGGGCCTCAGGTTCTTATGAAGCCCCCCTGCAGACCCTGCCCTTGAGATTGGGGGAGTCCTGTGTCAGGGCTTTGGGCCTTGTTTGTTTCTTGAGGATTAGCACTTGGGAAGGCAACAGCTCCAAGACACTGGGGGGCGGGGGACAGGCAACGTGCACTGACGTGTGAGCATGCGCGCATGTCCCCTGAGGGTTGTTTGTATCTAGGGGACAGAAACATCCATCTGTCTGCAGACACAGAAGCTGCCTCAAGTCTGGGAGTGAAATCCACCCCTAGCAGTCAATCGGCTTCTCCACGCGCCCCCCACCCCCACCCCATGGCTGACCTCTGTGAAACCAGGATGGTCAACATGCCTCCCCGAGACTTGAGGGTGTGCCGTTCCCCCAACAGCCCTCTGCATCCGGCCCCACTGCTCCCAGCATTGACCTGTGATTCAGACCCCACCCTGCAGTCTGCTCGTCTCTGAGTCTCAAACCCTCCACTCTTGGGCTCCCAGGGCTCCCTCAACTCCCTCGGTGGTCCTCCTGGCTAGCAGGTGATAAGGGGCCTAGCTCTGAATCCCACAGCAGACTCTGAAGAGGTTCCCCCAAGACATGTTTATTAGGGATGGAAGCAGGTGCGGTCACCTGAATGTGGCCTGTCCCAGTCCTCAAGGGGTGGCCAAGTGACCGGCTGACGGGGGCAGACTGTCTACAGGTGTCAGTGACAGTGGGTAGGGGGAGGCTGAGCTGAGCCCCAGCTCGGACAGATGCCTGTATCCACGTATCGGCCCTGTGGTGGTCTCCCTGGCTGCAAACTGTGGAAGGTCTGGGCCTGGACCTGACGTGAGTCCTGGGGCATGACTAATGCCCCAGTCTGCTGTGGAGACTCGGCCCACTGCTCTGCCTTCAAGAGATGATTCTCTGGGTAGGCCTGGAGGGAGGGCTTGGCTGCTTGGCTGCTGACGGCCTCTAGAGGGCGCCCTGCAGCTGTGGGCCACTCCTTGTTCTCCTCGGACCCGCCTCTCTACTCTGTGGGCAAGTCAACCACCCAGCAATCAATCGGGATCCTCCGACATCACTCCCTGCTCCTATTGCTGACCTTTGAGAGCAGGACGTCAGCATGCCTCCCCCAAAGCTCTTGGCACCCTGACTTCCCGCTCCGAAGGCCCCGCCCTTCAAACGGCATCTTTGTGACCAGGGCCTTCCAGAGAGGCCAGGGAGTAAAATGCTGCAAACTGCTCCTGTCCCACCCTTAGACTCTGGCCAGGCTGGTGCGCGTTCCCCTGGGACTCTGCTGACCAGCCTGGGCTTCCACTGACCGGGCAGGCCTCCAGAGATGAAAATGCAGCTCTAGGGAGGTAGCGCTGCCAGGCTCGGCTGACTGGATCAGAGGAAGCTGGGTTTGTGGGCACTAGGAAGTATCTAGTACCCCTGACAACCCAACCCCTGGCCCTTCTCCCCCCAGATACGTGGCCGGAGTGGTCCAGGCACCTGCTCCTGCAGGCAGGGGCTGCAAAACCCTGAGCCATGGCTGTCCTCTGGACACTGCCCAGGGCCTACACGGAGTGGTGTCAGGACTGCAGCTCTGCTCATGAGGTGTCCTGTGTCCAGTGCTCTGGGCCTCTGATTATCCTCGGGGTCCTGAACCCAGAGCTGGCTGCTGCAGTGGCACCACAGACCCTGAAGAGGTCTTGAGTGTGTCCAGCTGGTCAGCAGCTCCCGCCCGGGGACTCCAAAGTGTGGAGGTGAGCGCTTGTCCTGGTAGAGGCCACTCAACAGCTGGGCCCAGCCCATGTCAAGCTGTGTGTCCAGGGCTGAGGCCAAGGGCATGGCCAGGCCCAAAAGGAAGGTGGACCATGAAGGCCAGTCCTGAGACAGAACCACTGCCTTGCCTCAGGCAGACCCAGCCTAATGGGTCTGGGAGTGTGAGATAGACAGCTGGCCCCACCTGTAGACTTTGCCCCATGCTGGCTTTGGACTTCCTGCTCTTCATCACTTCCTGCTCCAGGAAAGCAGGCTGGTGCCTCCTTGTCTGTCCTGGTCCCAGGTCCTCCTCCCCCAGACCTGGGGGCACAGATGCTGGGGTAAGAGTCCAAATCCCTGTGCCCCGAGAACCGGTATATTAGAGAAGACCTGGCTTGGCAGGACTGGGCAGATCAGAGTGGACAGGAGCGGGCCCGCCAGGCCAGGGGCAGGGCTCCTTTGGGCATTTCCTGTGATTGGGAGATGCAGAATGCCTTCCTGTGGCGGCTTCACTTGGAATTTTTTCTTCCAGTCCTCACAGACTCCTTCACTCTCCAAACCCCAGTTCGAAGACCGCTCAGCACTCACAAGTCACTTTCAGCACCCTGAGGACACTCAGAAGCGTGCGTGGGGTGGCAGAGCTGGTGCCCAGTGCTGGGGATGTGGCCAGGACACTCAGCACCCTTGAAGCACACACCATTTGTCAGGGTGGACTCACCAAACACAGGTACTCTTGAGAAACCTGACCCTGAAGGACAGCTGGGTATAGTGTGGCCGGGGGTGGGGGTGAGGGGTCAGCCAGGGGTGGAGAAGACACTGGGTGCATGTTCCTGGGAGCACACCCTCTGTGATGGGAAGAAGCTCTGTGTCTGCACTGTCCCGTGGGCCCAGAGACTGGCCGCAGCTTGGTTTTGAGCAGGGCCTGATGTGAATTTCTGAATCGGAGGATCCGAGGTGATTATGTGGATTCCTGGTATGAATCATTTGTCTCTGTGTGTTTCTGGATCAGTCCAGCTAGGAGTCTGTCAATTTCACTGATTTTTCATTGATTTTCTATGACATGAGTTTTCTGCTCTTTCTTGTTTCTTTTATTCTCTTTACTTGGGTTAATTATCTCCCCAAGGTTCCTAAGGCGGTATCTTAGATCAATGATTTTAGACCTTTCTTCCTATCTAACACAATCACTTGTTGTTGGTGTTAGATGCCACTGAGTCGGTACTGACTCATAGAGACCTTACGCATAACAGAAGGAAACACTGCCCGATCCTGGGCCAACCTCACTATCATTGCCATGCTTGAGTCCACTGATGCTGCCACTTGGCCAATCCATCTCATTGGGGGTCTTCTTCTTTTTCTCTGACCCTCCACCTTACCAAACATGATATCCTTCTCCAGAGACTGGTCCCTCCTGACAATATATCTGAAGTATGAGAGATGAAGTTTGGTCATCTTGGCCTCCAAGGAGCACTCTGGCTGCACTTCTTCCAAAACGGATCTATTGGTTCTTTTGGCAGTCCATGGCACTTTCAATATTCTCCTCCAACACCACAACTCAAAAGCATCAATTCTTCTATGGTCTTCCTTATTCACTGTCCAGCTTTCACATGCATATGAGGTTATTGAAAATACCATGGCTTGGGTCAGGTGCACCTTAGTCCTCAAGCTGACATCTTTGCTTTTCAATACTTTACAAAGGTCTTGTGCAGCAGATTTGTCTAATGTAAAACACAGTCACTTAAAGCTATGCATTTTCCCCTAAGCACTGCGTTAGCTTTATCTCACAAATATTGATCGACTATATGGAGTCCTAGGTAGCTTTGGTAGCATAGTGGTTACGAATTGGGCTGCGAACCTTAAGGTCAGCGGTTCGAAACTACCAGCCGCTCCGCGGGAGAAAGATGAGGCTTTCTACTCCCGTAAAGATTTACACCCTCGGAAACCCTGTACAGGGTCGCTATGGGTCGGAACCAACTCGACGGCACTTAACAACAACAACAATATGGAGTCCTGGGGTGGTGCTGTGGGTTCATACACTGAACTGCAAAGTCTGTTTGAACCAAAAGGTCGGCAGTTCAAGCTCACCAGCCGCTCCTTGGAAGCCCTATACAGGGTTGCTATGGATCAAAACTGACTCGACGACACTTAACAACAACAACAACAACATTAGCATTATTGTTCAGTTCTAAGTATTTTCTCATTTCCTTTTGATTATGTATTTCACCAGTGAGTTCCAAATATTTGCCATATGGACATTGTTTAGAATCTGTATGTCTTTTTAATACTGATTTCTGATTGGTTCAGCTCAGTTGTATTTGGAGAACATGTTCTATGTAATTTAAATCCAATAAATTTTATTAAGATTTATTTGATGGCCTATTTTTGGTGAATGTTCATATCTG